TGTGACACTCCTTAAATTTAATAAAAAGAATTTAATACTAACTAAGATGCGACATCTGTTAATTGTATTTATAGATATTTTTCATAGCTTATGTTTCGGGACGAAACATCTTTTGAGAAGGGTAGAATCTGATACTCCGAAAAATTTAAACAAAAAAAAACAAAAAAATAAATAAATAAAAAGATATAAAAGACATCAGATAAAATGTATTTGACAAAGCAAACAAAAATAAATACTAATTAAAGTGATGTTTTGTGACAAGTGATAATTATACATATGACATAAAATAATAAAAGTGACGTTTTAAGAATTTTAAGTCTAAAGGTATGGATTATTATTAATGTACAAACATACACTATATATAAAAGCTACTAATAAAAAAATGATATAAAGTGACTTTAAAATGTAATATACATACACGACATACACACATTAAAAAAAAATTGAGATATAATTCCTCCATAGAATTGAAACACGTAGTATAATAAATCACTACAGCTCTTTGTCAACTCAGCCGCTATAATAGTATAACTACTATTGACGACTTAGACAGTATATATACAGTATCAAATATCAACTGGGCGGCCATATAATTACAAGTTAAGAAATGTGCAAATTTTATTCCATTAATCAGCAAACCAATCATTCAGCAGAAAAAGGCTACCCGACCTACGAGCTTCTCTGGCTATAAATAAACAGCTGCGGTCGACGGAGTTCTCCCCACACCGAAACTCCCATGCGAGCTATACATATACGTAATATATACTAATATAAATATATATATATATATATATATATATATATATATATATATATATATATATCCGCCGTTGTTCTGCGGTAAAGAAGGAGCTGAAGTAGGCTCTATACTCATCATTACCTACGCCGGAGGAAAAGGAAGCATACGTAACCATCACCGCCGCACAACACTTCGCCAGAGTTCCGCCGGGCTGTTTTTGTGCTTCAGCAAACGAGGATAGAAAAGGAGCTGCTGCTGCTGCCGCCGCCGGTCTACTTCTGACTGCCGTTGACTAGATTACTCCATCGCCGGACTTCAGTACATCGTCAAGGTATGACTATGCTTCATCCTTGTAGCCTGCGTTCAAAAGTGCTCCGACGAAGAAGAAGATCATATCTTCTTCGTTTAATTTTAAAAGCTGAAGTCACAGGTTTTAGGCTGAACAGAACTAACTAGAAAGTGGAAGGAAACATTAATGAGTCTGGCAATTACGTTTTGTTAAACTGGGCTAGTTTTAATAATACGAATATAGTGGTGAGGATGGAGCTAATCATAATAATAATCTTAATACAAAATAATAACAAAGATATTGATAATAACAACCTGTGGAAATAATACGGAGCAATGAAACTGAGATGATAATATTAAATATAAAAATTAGATTAGTTTGATGATAATAATTACTTGGAGGAATTGGTCATTTTTTAAAGTTAGATTAACTACATAATATAAAATAATAAAGTTAAGGGATTTTTTATTTAATCAAAATAATAATAAATGAATTAGTGTTATTTTAGATCTATTATTAACTTTATCGGTTAATTAAAAGTGTATGAATGTCAATGAACTAAAATAGATCAAATAATATAAGATAAAGCAAAATAAGAATAAATAGGAACTGCTGGACTGACTATAAATCAAATGGGATGTATATTCCATTAATTGGATTGAAATCAAATGTATTAATCACGTAACAAAAATATAATTAAGATAAATAGGCTAATAGATTGATTAATCATTTGAACCAAACCAAATAGTATGAGTATACTATTAAAAAGCCAATGGGTCATATCGTGAAATTGACATTTTTGTAATCGTGGTAGGATATGATTAATTGCCCTATTGAATTACCTACTTAAATTAATTTGGACAATATATTGATAATAAGGATTGATGAAAATTAATTATTAAATCTCAAAATTAGTATTAAGGTACGAATACATATATAAAGAGATTAATTGAATTATTTATTTAGGAAAATTGGGGAAAGTACATAAAGTAGAATGAAGGACTAATCATGAATCTTTAATCAAAAGGTGATTATTTAGAGATCGGATTAGAAGACGAGAACTAGTGACGTTGAATTTAAGGTAAGTTTCTCTGTCAATCCAAAATTGTTTCCTCGTATTATATGCTTATTATGCATTATGTGATTAAGTGTGAATTTTGAATTATGTGTATGTGATTTTGAGCAGATATTAGATCTATGGTATTTGAGAAATACAAATGAAATACTTTTGGGGTGTTAAATATTTTTAATATCATTGAGACCATTTAGAGAGATAAAGAAATATTTTGGAAGTATATCTAAAGTCAAGATAAAATTTATCTTTTCATAAGAGGTGAGCACCGCGGGAGAAATCTGTGGTGTCGGTTTTCCACATCCGGATAAATGTGGAGGGTGATTAGGGCTGCTACTACTAAGAAGTACAGTTTGAGTTTGAAGTGACATTTGGATCTATGATCCCTTTTAAGAAGAAGTTGTAGTAGTAGTAGTCCATAATCATTCAAGAATTTTAAAGGTGGGTTAGTTGGTAGACTGAGTCCCGGCTACTCGTTACGACTTACTACTCAGAGGGCTTGGAATCCCTTTTAGGGGGTGTGCACACTTAAGGTAGTCGTTTCGTTTCCATTAGCAGTTGTGGTACCGGCAAAAGCCCTTGGGTGGCCGTACATAATAACGTAACCACCGGGCTCAACCAGAGTGTTGAGCACCGCCCTTCTAAATTACTAGGAAGATAGAGAAGAAGTGAATTTTGAGAAATTCTAAGAGAAGAGTTACTCTAGTATTTTCAAAGAAAAGTTGAGGACTTTAGTAATGAAGTGATTTTGAGAAATATCAAAGAGAAGAATTTTGGTGGAGTGTGTCATTTTTATATAGTATTATATGAAAAACTATTTTTCACCAAACCTGATTATTTTACGGGGTTGGGTAGTACTTACTTAGCTCTAAAGCTAATTTGTGTTATTTTCCTTGTCCCTCTCTGCTCCCTTAAATTTTAACAGGTGATGAGTTGGGTGCTTATGTGGATTGATGGATTGCTCGAGCCTGAGAGCGAATTAGAAGATACCTTAGTTGAACTTAGTCTTAAATAAACATTTATTTTATGTTGCTTTCGCTTTATTCGTCTTTAAGTTGCCTGTGCATCCGGCCGTGTTTGGTCGGGTGTGGCGGTAACTCTACTTATTTTGAATGAATAAATCAAGGTTGTTATCAATATATTATTGTTTCAAGTATTATTTTGGACGGGAAATTTGGGGGTGTTACAAATTGGTATCAGAGACTTTAGTTTTTCGAAGGGATTAGGACACGAGGTAATAGGTCGTAGGGAGAAATTCTGTCACAAAGACGACAACAGTCTAAGCTGGTTGGTGCATAATTGAGCCTTTGCGCTCGTCCAGCTAACTCGGAATTTCTCCTTGTGCTGAAACTTCGTTGTTCAAAATCTTTGACGAAAACTATGGTCTCGAAGCGGGGATTTTCAAAATATTTTCTTAAAAAAAACTAGGAGAATGAACCTACTAGGACCCACCCCTACCCATACCCACACCCTTGACCCGACCATACCCCATCCCACCTTACCCCTACCCTCCACCACCTACCCTACCCCACCCCACCCCACCCTCACCCCTTACCCTACCACATTCCCCTACCTTGACCTGAGCCTGACCCCGACCCCCCGACCCCTTTACCCCCGACCCCCTGCCCCTACCTCGACCCACCTCTACCCCCACCCCCACCCTTGACCTGACCATACCCCACCCCCACCTTACCCCTACCCCTACGAGTTGGGGGGTTGGTATGGGTGGGAGTAGGGGTGGAGGGTAAGGTCGTGGTAAGGGTAAGGGGTAGGGAAGGGGTGGGCGTCAAGGGTGTGGAATTGGGGGTAGGGTGAGGGGTGGGGGTACAGGGCGGGGTAGGGGTTAGGGGTGTGGGTAAGCGATTAAGCGTACGAGGTGGCCCCACATATTATATCATATACTTGTGTTCATGAATGTTTGTGTGTGTATATATCTATAGGGTTATTTTGGACATTTTAATGTTAAACGGTGTTTTAAATCCTTTGAAGTAAACATGAGCTTACAATACTGCTGATTTTATGCGTCACTTATTAACGCGAGTCTTAATAAGCACCGTTTACTAACCCGTGAAGTAAACGTGTCCTAAGTCTTCCACTAGTTCTCGTTGTATGTCTTGTTCAATTAGTAAAAGTCATAAACTTCCTTTCTTTAATAATACGACGTTTGCTTCCAAACCATTAGAATTAATTTATTCTGATGTATGGAGTTCTAGTGTTCCCTCCATTGATGGTTATTCTTATTATGTCATCTTTGTGGATTATTTTACTCATTATATATGACTCTATCCTTTAAAGAGAAAATCTGATGTCACCATTATTTTTCCCCAATTTCATCATCTTGTTGAAAAATATTTTAATTTAAGTATAATTAATTTTTTTTCTGACAACGGCGGTGAATTTAATCTGATGTCGCCAAAGATTCACTATTTTTTGGTTTGAGAATATGATGGAATAAAGCAAAATGTCTCACTAAACTGTCTGCGCTTCTTTATTGTGAAGCAGCAGTCAGTCCATGTATTTTTCGACGCGAGTTTCACTATGGGTCATTCGAAAACAGTCTCTATGTGCCTTAGTACAGGGGTAAGACTGTGTACATCCGACCCCCCTTACCCCACTGTAGGTGGGAGCCTTTGTGACATTGGGGTAATGATGATGATGAACGGCGGTGAATTTATTAAATTACGTCCTTACCTCAACACCCATGGCATCTCCCACTTTACCCCCTCCCCCCCCACCCCTGAGCATAATGGCTTAGCTGAGCGCAGACATCGTCATATTGTTGAAACCGGTTTCGCCTTAATGCACCATGCTGGGATGCCTCCTCAGTATTGGCCTTATGCTTTTCTTACTGCCGTTTATCTTATAAATAGACTACCTACCCCATCCTCAATGGTGCCTCTCCCTACTCCAAATTACATAACATTAAGTCCAACTTCTCCAAACTTCAGGCTTTTGGTTGTGTGTGTTATCCCTGGCTTCAGCCCTATACATCTATAGTACTAAACTTCAATCCTGTTATATTCAGTGTGTCTTTCTTGGTTACTCTGTTACTCAATCTGCCTTTTACCGCCTGGATCATCACTGGGGTCGTATCTATGTCTCACGTCATGTCAAGTTTGTTCCCACCGTTTTCCCATTTCTCTCATTTTCCAAGTCTCCTGCCGTCCATAGTGGACCTCTCATGCTGCCGTCATCTCGGTCAGCCACTTCTCATTCTAATACTTCCGCGGCGACCTTTGAAGCCTCGCAGGCTGCACGGCAAGCTGATGCTGGTTCTGCCCCGACTCCTTCAGCTGCCCTTGAGGTCCGCTGTGAGGGCCCTAATTCGGATAGTCGCACCGCTCTGGAGGTGTCACAATCAAGGTGGTAGTCAGTTGCCAGATCAGCCCTTCGAAGGAGAAGGCTTCCAAACGGCCCCGTACTGAGATGGTTGCCGCTCCAAACCAGGGAGCCGATTTGCCCTCGCTCAGCCGCCCCGCCATCGACGCTTGGAGGATTTTGTCTGCCGCTCAGGCTTGGAGCTGGTACCCTGACCGTCCCTCACGGCCGTGGAGGCGCCTTGCTCTCCTGCTTCCAGGTAATTCCCTCATCGCCCTTATGATATGGTTCACTCTGTTTCTTCCCCTTTGAGTCTATTTTCCCTTCTTCGCTGTCTTGCAGGCTTCTCTGTACCTGCTCTAGTTCGAGGCTTCTCTGGACTCGGACGCCCTTCAGGCCAAGAGGAAGGTTGATGAAGCCGTCAAGGAGGCGGCTAAGGAGGCACGGTGATCCGCTCAGCGGAAACTGGATGAGGACGCTCAGCGGAAGAAGGATCTCTGGGCCGCCCTGGACTAGCTCTTGAGAAGTTGGCCGCTGCAGAGTAGATCGAGGTAGCTTTTCCTTTCGGCCCCAGCCCTGACCCTCAGTCCAGCCAAGTCTGGTGGGCCCAGTACCTCTGGGCTCGGGCTATGAGAAGACGACCATGTTTGAGGCGACCGCACAAAGGTATGCATGGGGTGCGGTTCGTGGTCTCTTTGAGGAAGAGCTTTCCCAAGTGTCAAGGAAAGAACGTTTGGAGCACGGGGCCAGGCTCCTGAAGAGGACGTCGCTCGGGTACCAATGGTGTCTCGATCTTGGGACGGACAGCTCGAAAAAGGGCTGTGCTGATGCGGTCGATGCTCTGATGTCGATCCTCCTTGAGAAGTGCGACGGGGACTTCAAACTGGCCGAGCATACGGACGATGTCTTCCTGCAGGCCACTGCTGAGAAGTGGGCTCGGGACCAGGGGAGAAGAGCCCGAGCTCCCGACCGAGGATGAAGAGACCGAGGAGGAGGAAGAAGATTCCAAACATCAAACAATGGAGAAGACCCCCCCCCCCCAATTTGTATTATTCTTTCTTTTTTGCTTCTCTTGTATATTCCGGACAGCAGCGCCGACGAATGAAAAAGTATTTTTGCAGTATCATCGTCTTCTCATAGGTAATTTTACCCTTTATTATGGAATGCCCGTCTTTAGACCTTTCTTGATTTTAAATTCTACACGAAGCGATGCTTGTCTCAACATTAGGATCTTGTTTTCATAGCCGAGTCCATGTATGATAATTCGTATCCCCATCGGATCCTAAGAACTGCACCGCACGTCCCCGGTTGACATGTGGTCCCGGTGTACTATGCTCACGGACGTTCGTCTTGTTATCACAACTGGTGACAACTCAACGCCCAAGTAGTGAATGACGTCCATCTAAATGCCCCTTGATGTATTTCGAGTACCCGAGATCCCAACTTATGGATAGTCTACCCGGGGGTATGTATCCGGAGGGTTACTGCGGGGAGTAACTAGAGAGAAGTCAGAGCAAGTAAGAGAGAGAAAGCGTATTGAATATATGAGTTAAAAGCGTATTCCGAATCTGGTTTACAAAGGGGAAATGGGGTGCTATTTATAGTAGCAATAAATGTGCGACGGGGACACGTGTCAAGCATCCAACGACCGAGGGGTCACATCAATCGGGTGTCACTGGCATTCGCATGTGGCCGCATTTAATGCGGTGGTTGGATGTGACGTTGTACTTAGTACGACGACCCTGGCGCATGTGGAGAGGATATTCTTGTCGAGGAAGGTACCCTCGGCTGTAGATGATTAGCTGAGGGCTCTTCCTGTCGAATGCCCTTTTAAGGCCGAGGGCTCCAGGTGCCGAGGGCTACTGTTTTTTGCCATTTTCTCCCAGTAACTTTGTATTCTGAAAATAGCCTTTCTGTGAGTATCTGGAGCCTTGGGCCAAGGGGCCGAAGGCACCCCCGTGTGCATTGTCAGTTGTTTGGTACTCAGGGCGCTGTGATTTGGGCTTGTTGTGCTTACCGGGCCTATTGGGCCTTGATTTGAGTAGTAGGAGTCTATGGGTCGGGGTCCTTGGGCCATATACTCCATCACGAGTCCCTCACTCCTTTTGCCGAAAGGTACTTGAGGGAAAAGGAGTAATTGTGTTTGTCCTCTGTCATTGTTCCGTTGTAGTTTGTAAAGTTGTAAGTAGTTCGTTGTTTGCATGTTTCTGTCGAAGGCAGTCCCTCAGTTACCCACATTCCGGGACTTGAGGGATCATGTTTGCTGTTGTGGGAGTTTTTTTTGATATCTTTGTATTTTGAGATTTTTCCCGAAGGGGTCCTCCAGTCCCCCACTCCTTGAGGCACTTGTAAAATGGTGAGAAGGAGTAGAGTAGTGCTTGCCTGCAATATGGTGCCGAGGGGTGACGCTTTGCGTTTCATTTTGGGGGGATGCCTCGTTAAAAACCTCATTAGAAAAAACCCTGTGGGAAAAAATTCTAATGAGGGAAAAAGAGTGCACCGAATTCCCCCAATGATGAGTCGAAAAGGTGAAACCCTGGTCTGAAATGTGTGGCAATACTCTTGCTGAAGGCTATCCTTTTCTGAGGGCGCGTGTGCTTCTATGCCGAAGGCGTGCTTGTTGATATCCTGGGAGATGCCGAAGGGGAGCCCTCAGTTCGTGGGAATGAAGGCGCGATGAATGTATGTGATATTTCCTATGTTGTCGAGGGGTCCCCTATTTGTTGATAAGTTGAGGGTCGTGTTACCCCGGGGGGGTTCCTTGTTGTGTAGCCGGGGGTAACTGTTGATGAAGGTGTGCTCCCCGGGGGTTACGTGGTCCTCAATGTGCTTGAGGGCTGAGTGTTCCCGAGGGGTGTGCCCGTTGTGAAGCCGTGGGCTTCTGAAGGAGTGAGCCCGAAGGCACTTGTGATGTAGTATGAGGGGCACAGGCCGGGAGCACCTCTGGATAAGTGTACCCGGGGGCTCCTCTTGATGATGTGGAGTGAAGGAGAAAGCCCGGGGGCTAGTTTTTTTGTTGATGAAGGAGCGGCCTGCTGAGGGCGTGCCCTTGGGTTCCCTGAATATAGTCGTTGTAATATGTGTTAGAAAATTGATGTAACGTACCTCGAAAGTACAGCAGCGGAAGTTTAAAATTTTCCAAAACAGATCTTCCCTGATTATGACAAAACAACGAATAAAACAATAATAACAGATCTGAGTCAGAACTTACAGATCTTCCAGCCTAGCGGTGATAATCCTTGACCTTTGGTATCCACGTGATTTCTCCTTTCCGAAAGAACGGTTAGATCTCCCTAAGAGAAAGGCTAGGAAATCTCTTCGCAGGGAAATAAACTGGTAATACTGAATCTGAAAACTGGTCTATGAATTATGAAGGAGAATGATGTATTTATACTAGTTCTAAACTAGTTTTTCAATCACATTGAAAGTCTTCCTAATTAATGAGTTCTAGTCCTAATAGGACCAATACTCCTTATTAATTAAATAAGTAGATTAAACAAAATAATATAATAATAACAATAACATTAGAGAGGTGGCTGCACGCCACTCTCTACTTGTTATAAGTATTATTATTTATTTCATTTTCTTTTCTTTTAATTCCAAATCATAAAAGAAAATACCAACTTTATTTAATAATAAATACACCTTAATTAGGTATAATAAATCTAATTTATCATACTTAATTAATTCTATCGGATAGAACTCTCCTTCAACTTCATGAATTAAATATGTTTAATCTAATTAACATTTAATTCATTCTCAGTATTTACTAATTAAATATTATTTAATCTAATTAATAATATTTAATTCCTTCTAACAGTTCAATCGGAAGGTATAATCACTTGTTGTGTGACCCATAGGGCCTTATATATTGAGCACTAATCAAATTAAGGTCTTAGTAGAATCCCTAGACGATTTACCAGACAAACTTAATATATAAGGACGTTTGCGAGGACTTATTCAAACTCCCTGTAATATAGAGCTCATAGTGATACGGTCCTTTCATTCAACGAACATTCAACTAAGTCTAGAACATGATATTGTGTCTATCCCAATAACTCAGTCTCTGTCTCTCAATCTTTCTAGATGATCCATAACGATCATATTCGATATCCAAAACGAATATATCTTTGCATTGGCCAATGACTTTATGATCCATCTAGATATGAGAAGTAGAATGTTCTCTCTTAATCTATTATGAGAAATGAATCCTTTCTTGGCTCAACTACTACTCCATGTGCTTCGTGATGCACCCAACACATGTCGTATCTACCCCGATTGGAGTGCAAGCGTTGGTCATGGTCAAAGTACATCACTCCGCACATGTAGTACGTATTGACCTCAAGTCGGAGGACTATTACACTACTCTATACGCCGATAATCCCATAGACACATGAATAGAACTTATCAAATGGTTTCTCGGTGGGTATGCCAATATTCTCTAAAATATCTATGTGACCATCATGAATTACAGGAACTCATAGTCGTGAGATCAACTATACTTTCTAAAAGTATGATGCAGTCCACATACCAATCTTATCGCATATCATCAATATCTCATTCTTGATGATCATTGATTGGGGCCTTTTTAGGACCTTATGTTTTATCATATAAGCTCTCACTTACATATTGACAACATAAGTCCAAGCGAACACAATTATGAATAAGACATTGACAATCGAAATGCTTAATCATCAATGTGTAATACCGTATATATCAAATATATAAAACTGAATGTGATCAAGTACATATATCTCTAAAAAGTGATTGTCGCTAGGACATATATACTAACAATCTCCCACTTGGCCTAGTGCCAATCACCGATGCGTCTAACACCTAGACTCTCAAAAGTTTAGTGTGTTTCTCGAATCTTAAAGGTTTGGTGAAAGGGCCAGCCAAATTGTCCTCTACGGGAAGGCATTCTATTGCAACTTCTCATCTTGCTATTTGTTATAAAAACATGATAGCATACTGGTATTTTTAGTTCCTTACTTTGCATCTTAGTTCCTTAGCTTGTGCAAATGCACCGGTACAGTCACAATAACAATTATTGGATAACTGTCGCTAGGAACTACCCTTATTTCTTTAAGGAACTAACGTATCTAAACGCTTACCTATGTTGCATCAAATGCAACAATTTACTAGGCTCTAGTTGTCGAATTTACTAGCATTACTATTACATTGAGACTAAAAATATATACTGACTGTGACTCGTAGTGTTTCTTATCATACATGAAACTAGTGCTAAAATAGTTAAATTCTACTAGTTCTTTCTGTCTACCATAGACAAAAGATATTCATGAAGATTTTGGATGACCATTCTTTCGCGGACTTCAATGAGGGGATATCATTCTCTATGATCAACATATATGATTATAAAGACCATGCTATCCTTGTTGCGCACTCTAAACACGCAAGCACCCTCATTTCATTTGATGAGGTCAAACGGTTTGACTTTTTCATCAAAATTAATATTTCAACTCCTAGATGCTTGTTCTAGCCCATAAATAGATTTCTCTAATTAACATATTGAATTAGAATTTGATATGGATATAAAACCTTCAGGTTGTACCTTGTACACCTCCTCCTTGAGGTTTCCATTAAGGAAAGGGGTTTTGACATCCATTTGTCAAATCTCATAATCATATTGAGCAGCTATAACAAGCAAAATCCAAATGGACTCGAGTTTTGCAACTGGCGAATAGGTATCACTATAGTCAATTCCTTTTCTTTGACTATAACCTTTAGCCACTAGCCTAGCTTTGTATGTTTTCACCTTTCCTTCAGCATTAATTTTCTCCCTGAAAATCATTTTGCATCCAATGGGTCTAACCCAACAGGCAAGTCAACCAAGTTCCATACTTGATTGATACACATCGAGTCCATTTTAGATTTTATGGCTTCTTGCCACCTCTATGAATCAACATCTAATATTGCTTCTATGTAGGTTTCAGGTTCATCCGTATCAGGAATCTTAACATCATCATGATCCTCCATGAGGAAGCCTAACCTAGTTAGTTCATGAAGAATCCTAGTAGACCCGCAGAGTTGAATGTTTTGCATTTTGTTCAGGCTGTTCATTCTGATCGTGAAGATGTTCTCTTTCATTGGACTATCCAATGCTTA